TGATTTTTTTTTTTTTTAATATTAGACACTATTTGGTTATTTCTTGTGTTAACAGATGAGGATTTAACTCTATCCTCACCACCAACCATTTCCATCCTTTCTGTGTAATTACCCCACTATTTTTATTTTAACCAATAACCGATTTTGTTTTTACTTTATGATTATGTGTTTATGCCATTTTACGTTTCTTTTCTTTTCCAACTTTTGTTTCTTCTTGAGTTTCTAATGACCTCCCTGTTTGTCTTCTGCGATTTTCCTTTAAAGTTTGATGCCCAAAATTAATTTGCTTTCTATATCAATAGGTGACAGAGTTCCATTTCTATATAATACCCTCACCTTTGTAGAATTTTCCTAATTTACTATGTACTCATTTCAATCTTGAGATGCAGACTTTTTGTGTGTATGCTTATCCATATTCTGAAGTGTTCTCCACATTTTCAGACGTGTTACAAACCAATGATCAATACTAAAACCCACAGTTAAAGCCTACTCATTTGAAATAAGTAAATAAATAAATAAGCTTACTCAGGTGGCAAGTTCTGTCTCTCACTAAAAGAAAAAAATAAGAAAAGTAATAATTAAACTGAGTATAGATAACTATCTTGTATTTGTCACAATAAGCTTGTAATACTTTGTTTAGTTTATAACTGTGTAGGGGCGCCTGGGTGGCGCAGTCGGTTAAGCGTCCGACTTCAGCCAGGTCACGATCTCGCGGTCCATGAGTTCGAGCCCCGCGTCGGGCTCTGGGCTGATGGCTCAGAGCCTGGAGCCTGTTTCTGATTCTGTGTCTCCCTCTCTCTCTGCCCCTTCCCCGTTCATGCTCTGTCTCTCTCTGTCCCAAAAATAAATAAACGTTGAAAAAAAAAAAAAATTAAAAAAAAAAAAATAACTGTGTATAAATTTTCTGTGTCCATTTGGTTACTATTTGTAATGCTAATGTACTAAATTTAATTACTTTTTAATTAGTACTTTTAATGTACTAATTTTAATTACTATTTGTAATGATAATGTACTAATTTTAATTACTTTAACTTACTGGAGAAGTTTAAAAAACAATCTTTTCAGGGTACCTGGGTGGCTCATCGGTTAAGTGTCAGACTTCATCTCAGGTCATGATCTCTCACTCTGTGAGTTCGAGCCCCACATTGGGCTCCGTGCTGACAGCTCAGAGCTTGGAACCTGGTTCGGATTTTGTGTCTCCCTCCCTTTCTGCCCTTACCCCACTCATGCTCTATCCCCCCCTCTCTCTCTCTTAAAAAAAATAATTGTTAAAAAAAATTTTTTTAAACAATCTTTCCAATATATAATATTTATATTATATTTAATAAAATCTCTTTAATGTTTGTTCATTTATTTTGTATATATTTTAATTATAATAAGTGTATTAGAAGCTTAGTGAAATAATTGAATTTAACCAATATTTAGTGTTAGACTAACTCCTTGAAGGCAAGATACCTGAATACTTTATATTTTTTTGTATTAGCCAGTAAGTATTTGTTAATCATTCCCTCACACAGTATTAAAGTATTCTGGGGGTGCCTGGCTGGGCTTAATCAGTAGAGAATGTGACTCTTGATCTTGGGGTTGTGAGTTCAAGCCCCATGGTGAGCAGAGAGTTTACTTAAAAATAAATAAATAAACAAACAAACAAATAAATCTTTTAAAATGAGTTGTAAAAAAAAGACATTCTGAGCCCAGTATATACTAATCTAAGGTTAATAGATTTGGAAGACAAAATAACTTGATTATTTCTTTTACCTCTGCTATTGAAAAATCTTTCTTATGTAATGTCTGATCTTTTTCTAACCTAAATTTCAATAATTTTGCAGTGATATGGTTTACTGTGGTATTTATGACAACGCCTTAGACAATGACAACTACAATCTTGCTAAAGGTTTCAATTATCACCAAGGACCTGTAAGAATTTCATTTCTCTTTTCAGAATTTTCAGCTTAAGTTATTTTTCAAATAACTTTATAAATATTCACAGCTCTTTTTTTTTTCCTTTACTTTTAAATCATCTTTTTTAGGAGTGGCTATGGCCCGTTGGCTATTTTCTTCGTGCAAAATTATATTTTTCCAAATTGATGGGTCCAGAGGCTAATGCAAAGACTGTGTTTTTGGTTAAAAATGTTCTTTCCCGGCATTATGTTCATCTTGAGAGGTAAGTTGTTGGGCAGCATGTAATTCCCATAACAGTATTTAGTCAATTTATTAGATATTAGGTAAATAACAGCTCCTAGAATTAGTTTCTGTATACTCTAGGTACCCCAATGAAATCTGAAAGCTTTACTCTTATTTAACATGACAAATTCAATGATGTAATTTCACCTTCTTTTAATTATTTTAGGTTGTTATTATTTTGATTTGAAGACTTGATATTGTGTGATTTATACATGTCAAATAGTCTGATTTTTTAAATTTCGTGGATATTTTTGGGTATGGTTAGAACAGAATAAATAAAAAAAGTAAAAGTTCTCAGCCTGGGCATTTTGAGTTAGCTGATTTAAAGATTTATGTGGTTGCCAGAGGGGAGGTAGGTGGAGGGATGGGTGAAATAGATAAAGAGAATTAGAGTACACTTATCCTCATGAGCACCCAAGAAATGTATAGAATTTCTGGGTCATTATGTTGTACACCTGAAACTAATGTAACACTGTATGTTAAAACTTTTTAAATGTAGAATAATTTGAAAAAATACATAAAATCAGAATAACTTAAAATAAAAAAATAAAGATATATCAATAAATAATTTTCAGAAATGCTTTATTATAGGGGCACCTGGGTGGCTCAGTTGGTTAAGCATTTGACTCTTGATTTTGGCTCAGGTCATGCTCTCATGGTTCATGGGATCGAGCCCCGTGTCAGGCTCTGCACTGACAGATTCTCTCTTCCCTCTTTCTCTGCCTCTCCTTCTCTCTCTGCCCCTCCTTCTGTCTCTCTTGATAAATAAGTAAACATGTTTTTATATTTATTATACTTATTATACTTATTATAATTAAAGTATCAAGGTTGGTCTTTTGACTGTTATCTCAAACCCATTTGTCACCTCCTTTGTCTGAATTATTGGAGATAAATAGTGTCAGAGTTATGTGTCTTTATAAGATGATACAAAGATAGTTGAAAGCTAGCTTAATTTCCCAAATTCTAGATTAAACCTAAATACAGGCATGCCTCAGAGATGGTGTGGGTTCAGTTCCAGACCACCTCAATAAAGCAAAAATCACAAGAAAGGAAGTCAAATGAATTTTTGGGTTTCCCAGTGAATGTCAAAGTTACATTTATACTGTACAGTAGTCATTAAATATGCAATAACATAATGTCTAAAAAAAACAATGTACATACCTTAAGTTAAAAATATTTTATTGGGGCACCTGGGTGGCTCAGTCGGTTAAGCGTCCAACTTCAGCTCAGGTCATGATCTTGCAGTCCATGAGTTCAAGCCCCGCATCGGAATCTGTGCTGACAGCTCAGAGCCTGAAGCGTGTTTCAGATTCTGTGTCTCCCTCTGTCTCTCTCTGCCCCTCCCTCACTCACGCTCTGTCTCTCTGTCTCTGAGAAATGAATAAACCTTAAAAAAATTTTTTTTTTAAATTTATTGCTGGGGTGCCTGGGTGGCTCAGTCAGTTAAGCATCTGACTTCGGCTCAGGTCCTGATCTCGCAGTTCGGTTCGTGAGTTTGAGCCCCGTGTCAGGCTCTGTGCTGACAACTCAAAGCCTGGAGCCTGCTTCAGATTCTGTCTTTCCCTCTCTGCCCCTCCCCCACTCTCTCTCACTCTCAAAAATAAACGTTAAAAAAATTTAATATTTTATTGCTAAAATATGCTGATTATCATGTGAGCTTTCAGCAAGTCATAATCACTGACCACAGATCACCATAACAAATACAAGAATAATGAATAAGTTTGAAATATTGTGTGACATACCGAAATGTTACACAGATACCAAGTGAGCAAATGCTGTTGGAAAAAATGGTGCCAGTAGACTTGCTTGATGCTGGGTTGCCGCAAACCTTCAATTTGTAAAAAACAGTGTCTACAAAGTGCGGTAAAGCAAAGCTCAGTAAAGCAAGGTATGGCTGTATATATACGGCTCATTGCTCAGAATTATTATGCATAAACAACATTAATGTTCTCTCCTTTATTACAAGAGCATGAGGGACTTCCATCATCACCATGAATGTCGTGTCAAGCTTTCTTTTTTTTCAGTTTGTTTTTATTAGCTTGGATGTAGTCACAGAAAACCCAATCCTGCCAGAATTCTTGTACCTCATCTAGAAACGGAGACTGAATCTGTGTGATGTGAACATTCTTATATTCTATCCTTTGTTGCCCCAGTTATTGCCACAGTATTTCTCATTGTTGCCACAGTATTTCTCATTGTTTGCATCTATTTTCTCTTTTTTTTCCCCTTTTGTCCATGAAAAGTAAGAGTATCTTACACTGCAGGGATCACTTTTCTACTTTACCTGTGATCCCATCCCTCCCACCTGTGTCCTGACTTTGCTCCAGTAATTATCCTTTCTTGGTATTCCACTTGATCCTTCCTTCTTTTTTTTTTTTTTTTTTTTTTTTTTTTTTTTTTTTTTTTAATTTTTTTTTTTCAACGTTTATTTATTTTTGGGACAGAGAGAGACAGAGCATGAATGGGCGAGGGGCAGAGAGAGAGGGAGACACAGAATCGGAAACAGGCTCCAGGCTCTGAGCCATCAGCCCAGAGCCCGACGCGGGGCTCGAACTCACGGACCGCGAGATCGTGACCTGGCTGAAGTCGGACGCTTAACCGACTGCGCCACCCAGGCGCCCCGATCCTTCCTTCTTAATCTAGAAAGATCAGCCCATCCTAAAATAAAGTGCTTTCATACTGTTCCTGCCTCTAGCCCTGTCCTATCATTCTGTTTTCTTCTCAGCTCACTTCCTATAGGAGCAGCCTCAATCCTTTTGCTTTCTGACCCCTTTCCACCTTCAGTCTGGCTTTTGTTTTGCCCTCACCACTCTGGTGAAGCCACTCAACAAGATTCTTTCAGGTTCCCAGATCCCATGACTTCCTTTCAGTTCCCTTCTTTGACATTCCTATAATATTTGAAATTGTTGCCTTCTTCTTTTCATAAAAAACCTTATGCTATCCAGGGGCACCCAGCCGGCTCAGTCAGAAGAGCATGCGACTCTTGATCTTGGGGCCATGAGTAACCTACTCTCCACACTGTGCTATCCACTACCATGGGGACTCGGCTCACCCTGCTTGCCCCAAGACATAGGTGACCTTTTGTCCTTCTTGGGCCTGACAATCCCACACTAGACCACACTATGTGCAGATGCCCCCCTTGCACCATCTGGGCTCTGGGCCATTCCCACCCTTGGTATGAACTTCTCCATACCCTTCAGGCTCTGGCATCCCACCCTGTGCTGTTCCCGCTACCCTTATGTCCTCTCCTCCCCAGTTGTGGTCACTGACCTCCTTTGTCCCACCTAATGACTTGAGGAATGAATTTCTTTCAGAAAGGAAGGAAAAGAAGACTTCTTTATACCAGTATGTATATGTTCCATGTTCTGGCTCCACATAACAATGTGAGCAGTATATTATTGGTTCTATTAGCTTGTTTTAATTTCAATACTATATTAGTTTGCTGACTCTGCCATAACAAAGCACTACAAAGTGAAAAGCTTAAATAAGGAACTTTATTGCCTCACGGTTCTAGAGGCCAGAAGTTTGAAATCAAGGTGTTACTAGGGCCATGCTCCCTCTGAAGATGCTAGGGAAGGATCTCTCCCAGCCCTCTTTCCCAGCTTCTGGTAATTCCTTGGCTTGTGGTAGCATAACTCCAATCTTCACATGACTTTCTCTCTGTGTGCATCGCTTGGTCCAAATTTCTCTAAGGACACCAGTCAAATTGGATTGGGGGCCCATCCTATTCCAGTGTGACCTCATCTTAACTAATTACATCTGTAAGAACCCCATGTCCAAATAAGTTTACATTCTAAGGTACTGAGGGTTGGGACTTCAACATATGAATTTTGAGGAGGACACAGTTCAGCCTATTACAGATACCCTGGTACCTAACTTCAGTAATTTGGCATTTTGCTCGGAAGAAACTTGAACACTTGGAAGCAAGTTTCTATATTTTGTACTTCTCTGTGATGGCTTTTTAAATATGGTACATAGCTGGTGTTATTATTATTAGTTATTATCCAAACTGTCTCCATATTTACTTAAGGGAATTATGTTTCCATACTTATGAAAAATTTAATGCCTACAGAAGAGTATAATGTAACATACACTCTTCACACAGCCATGAGTTACAATGTTATAATGGTGAAACAAACACATTCCCATAACCCAACTTTAAAAATGAAACAATACAGAATTCTGGATTTTTTAACTTTATGTTTCATGTTTAAGAGATTACACTAAAATTAAGAATAAAACTGAGGGACACCTGGGTGGCTTAGTTAGTTGAGCATCTGAGTCTTGATTTCTGCTCAGTTCATGATCTCACAGTTCATGAGATCAAGCCCCGTCGTTGGGCTCTGAGCTGACAGCTGCAGCCTGCTTGGGATTTTCTCTTTCCTCTCTGCTTCTCTCACTCTCTCTCTCGATCAATAAATAAATAAATAAATAAACATTTTTTTAAAAGAGAATAAATTTGAGGGGCACCTGGCTGGCTCAGTTCCAAGACCATGCAGCTCTTGATCTCAAGGTTGTAAGTTCAAGCCCCATGTTGGGTGTAGAGATTACTTAAATAAATAAATAAAGTTAAAAAAAGAAAAAAGAAGAAGAAACTTGATATGGAAACAATACTGTGTTCTGATAATAAGACCTGATAATTAGTTAACCTCTCTAAACCTCTTACCTGCTCTGTGAATACGGATGATTATGGTTCTTGCCTTTCAGGGTTGCTGTGAGCATTAAATGAGATAATGTACATAAGTCACTTAGGATTAGAACATAATAAATACTAACTGTATTATTCAGTAGAATGAGAGATTAGTATAGAAATTCATATTGGTTTTTTTTTGTTTTTTTTTTTTTTTTTTTTTTTTTGAGAGAGAGAGAATGCAAGCAGGGGAGAGGGGCAGAGGGAGAGAGAGAATCAGTCTTAAGCAGGCTCCTTGCTCAGGGCAAGCCAGATGCAGGGCTCGATCCCACAACTCTGGCATCGTGACCTGAGCCAAACTCAAGAATTGGATGCTCAACCGACTGAGCCACCCAGGTGCCACCAGATTTGTTTTTAATTGGCACTATTTTCCTAGTCATAGCTCTCAGCGTTTCTTCATTATTCTATATTAGTTTTATAATTTTGTCAAAATCTACATAATTACAATTTGAATTTCATAAACTTAATTTGAAAGTACTAAAATTAGACCTGAGAGGATATTTGTCACTCTGTATATGCTTAGAATGATAGTTTCTTCTGTTTTCTTTTTTTAATGTTTATTTTTGAGAGAGAGAGAGTGGGAAAGGGGCTGAGAGGGGGGTACAGAGGATCTGAAGCAGGCTCTGCACTGACAGCAATGAGCCCCATATGGGGCTCAAACTCACCAACCATGAGATCATGACCTGAGCCGAAGTCAGGCACTCAACCAACTGAGCCACCCAGGCACCCCCTGTTTTTAATACATAAAAGGAATCCTTTGTGTTTGAAGGTCTTAAATCCCAAACACTAAATATCAAAGAATAATTTTAATCTAAATTCTTTATACATAGATCTTTAGAATATCCTGTTTTATTTTGTAGCAAATGACTATATATGATTGTTTTTCTGTACTAGCAAGGAAAACCACCAAGTTATTGCCTATTTTGTTAATCCAGACAAGATATGTTAGATTGTATCTCATAAAATGTCTTTTCTTTCTTTAAGATCCCCTTGGAAAGGACTTCCTGAACTGACCAATGAGAATGGCCAATACTGTCCTTTCAGCTGTGAAACTCAAGCCTGGTCAATTGCTACTATTCTCGAAACGCTTTATGACTTATAGCTGATTAATGGATATGTATGAAGTATGCAATTACTTGTATTATGGAATGCAAGATCAAATATAATATAAAGGGTTTATATGCACAGGCTGAAGTTATTTTAAAAAGCTAATTTATATAATAATGATACCCAATTAGGTAAGACTTTAAAAACAGTGATTTGTCTTTTTCCTTTCTTTTGTTTTGTTTTGTTTTTAATGTACAGAGAGGTAGCTTTTGATTTGAATCAGGAAGAAAAACTATCATTACCAATGGGATGTTCTTTTGAATTCATGAAGTATTCCTTAATTGCCTAGAAATAAGAGTTTGAAATCCAGAGTTTGAAACAGAAACGTCATGTAATCTTCCACTTGTACATAAGTGAAAATGAAGTATTAGAATGTAATAATGAAAGAAATGGGAAAGTATCTTCAAATTGTGGTATATATTTTCTTCAGTAATAATACATATTGATTATGCTGTGGTTAACTAATGTTCTCACCTTTTACTATATTATTCCTAGCACCTTCTACACTGCATTCGATAAATATTAACTGAATATTGACTCATGGAATTGTCTACCTACACTGTTATGTTCAGAAAGGATGTTCAGAACACAGATGTTCACTGTGTGGTTTTTTTTCACTAGAATACTAATATGTTTTTAATATAATGAATGCCATAATTTGCTTATGTTAATGATGCATAGGATATATGAAAAAACACAAGCATTTAAGAATTTATTTCCTAAAAATAGTTTTGTAAAATTAATCTTGAGTACGAGTTTCCTACTATGAGATGGTTCACATTCTCAAAATGCACATTGTTGGGCATATTTATGAGAACTTTAAAGAAAAACATGCTATATTAATTTTCTAAAACTTAACAATTATTTTTAGTTTGTGTGCAAAAGTGTATTGATAGATCATAGCAGATACTAGTTTCCTATTAACTAAAACCTACATTGACAAGTTTAGCACTGAGAAAAATCTTGGTATAATAAAAATATAGATATGAATTTAGTAGTTCTCTTGAATTCAATAGAATCATTTGAACAGTTTTTCATGACCTTAAATCCAAAAAGTCATAAAAGGAAAAAAGTTTTTTAACATTTATATGAGTTAATATTTTTGAATAATACTTATTCTCTAGATGGGTTTTTTTTATTGTTTACTATTTTTGTCTCAAGAAAACACTTAAATCAGATCATTATACTTTTAGTTGAAAGAAAATAGTTGCAAAAATCCTTTCATCACTATTTAATATTATTCAGTGGTATATTTATAGCTAATAAAATAATGGTACAGTAATACTTTTCTCAGTTAAAGATAACATACCCAACCATCTTAAGTATGATTAAGAAATAAAAATAAGAAAAGAAAGTAAACTAAAACTTTTAGGTAGTAAAAATCTATGAATACAGAAGATATCAAATACCCATGCTTAAAAGCTCATGTAACTTAATGTATACTGCACAGTCTTCTTCAAAATGGACTGTACTTTAGAAATAGTTTTAACTAGGGGCGCCTGGGTGGCTCAGTTGGTTGAACATCCGACTTCAGCTCAGGTCATGATCTCGCGGTTTGTGGAGTTCAAGCTCCATGTCCGACTCCATGCTGACAGCTCAGAGCCTGGAGCCTGCTTGGGATTCTGTGTCTCCCACTGTCTCTGCCCCTCCCCTGCTCACACTCTGTCTCTCTATCTCTCTCAAAAATAAATAAACATTAAAAATTAAAATAAAAAGAAATAGTTTTAACTAGCTTGCTTTTTTGGTTTCCCAACCTAAAGCAGATTAAATCCTAGAAATTTAAGGAGAGTTGTGATATTAATCTGATCACTGTCTATAAATACATTCATTTCCAAGTTTCCCTTCCTTCTTCATTGCTCAATATATAACTTTCTCTAAGCTTTGCAGTTAAAAGGAATGACATTCCTTGAGAGAGAAAACCATTAGTTATCAAAGGTTGATGCAGTTATGTTGCTCTACTTTAACTTCTATATTAAAGATAGTAAGAAAAATAACTGAAAACCAATGTATTTAATAAAAGCAAGAAGTAACAGTTGACAATTAAATAGGATGGATGGATGGATAGATAGATAGATAGATAGATAGATAAACAAGTTGAGAACTTCTAAAACATAACCATACTGGGTTGTAAGGCAATTCCCCACCTCAGTAATTTTTAAGGATATCATGTTGTACTAGAAAATTAAGTGGTTGATATTCCAATAAGGAATATTAAGGAAAGAACATTGTGATAACCTGCATGATCTTTTTTAAAGTTTAAGAAGGCATGTTAGACATTATTTTATCAAAGGTAGTTAAAATAATGGTTTTAGACTTTAGAGGCATAAATGTCATTTCACTAAAGAACATCTAAATAGAATGCTTCATTCCTGAATGATGTTGGATGATGTACCATTATATTATGTTTCGGCAATGGTTCTATGCCTTGGTTCCTCACTAATCCAGATCAATCTTACTCTTTAACATGAGAAGTAAGTTTGCCAGTAGAACCAGTATGCTGTGATAATTTAATGTTTCAAGGATAGTTGAGGAAACATTAGACCTGTCATCGTATCTGTGGACAATAAAACCTATGTGAATTGTAATCCATTTCTGATATGTCTTCAACTGCTACATCTAGTAAGAAATGTCATTTTTATGTCTGTGTGCCAAGAAAATAAAAAATATTTTCTAAAGGACTATATTTTACTTTCATTCCATTATTTATCAGTTAACTGATCTTTTGATGCCACTACCATTTATTCAGGGCTTGCTTATTTTGGGTATTTATTTTTGGGTGTTTATTTTTTGCAGGATGTATGAGGGCAGAAAGAAAAAGAAGAATTTTAGGCTGTTTGGCAATGTATTTAATTAGCCAAGTTGAAATTAGGAGCAAAGCATACTTATTTTAAAATTTTGTTTTACTTCTAAGAGACAGAGCATACACAGGGAGAGGGAGACACAGAATCTGAAGCAGGCTCCAGGCTC